GTGTGTGTGTGTGTGTGTGTGTGTGTGTGTGTGCGTGTGTGTGTGTGAACAGATTATCAGTCTGAAGGCACTTATTCAAAATAAGCGGGCTAATGTGTTACAGAAGCTCTTTTCCTCAACTGAAGAGCGACGGCATTACCACATATAATATTTCCTCAGAATAGATAGAGAGTTTACCATAAACTACAATGAATTATATACTTTCACAAAAATATTATTATTATTATTATTAAATATTAAAATAATAAGTTTTGTAGTGAAGCTGGTATTTGGTTTAAAATCCTAAGTTAGTTAAAGTTGCAGTCTGTAACTTTTTAAAATATATATTTTTGACATAGTTGATAAAACTGTCACTATGTCCTGACAGATTGATATTAGACAGACAATCTCTGGGGGGGGAAAAAGGAAAAAAAAAAAGGGAAAAAAAAAGTCCTCTGGCTCCTCCCGGTGGTCCTTCTGCCCTCTGTTAAAATCTCTCCGACCCGGAGACAAACGACCAATCAAAAGTGAGGTTTATCTCATGCACGAGCTGTTCTTGCCCACCCCCGTCCCTGCCGCGCAGCGCGCACGCCGCGCAGCCGAGCTAGCGCGCTCTCGTTCAAACAGTAAGCTAGCTGAGCTAGCTGGGTGAAGCTGACCCCTCCAACAACCTACAACCTGGATTGGAGCCTGTTCTGAAACCCAACACAGGGTAACAGAAGAAGACCCAGGAGGAAATCCAAGTTGAAAAGAAAGAATTAGATCGAACCTGGAAAAAAACGAGGTGGATTTCACAGGAGGAAGAAGATGGATGCAGAGTTAGCCATTTCTGCTTGACAAGTTAGTATCTCTGCTTCATTCTTTTTATTTTTAATAATGTTATTAAAAAATAAAAAGCTTATAGAGCTGCTGTAGTACTACACAACAAAGTTATCGATGGTTACAGAACCACCAGCGATATGTTTGTTATGATATTATAACACGTTAAATGCTAACGTTAGCAGCTAACTCGTTTAGCCTCAGTAAGCTACTGTTCATATTTACCTACATATAGTTATCTTGACTTATTCTGTCGTGGATCAGAATTAAAAGCAGTTAGATATGGTGAAATTACTGTAACTGTGCACTTCCTCTGTCGAAAATAAAAAGTAAATAAAATAGAATGAGGCTTGATCAACATTAGCACTTAGCTAATCAGGCCTGCTGTTAGCCCTGACTGATATTAGAATGCACTCATGTTTTTATTTAGTGTTATTCACATTTGATTTTTAACAACAGCTCAGCATTAAAACGTGTGTTAGTTCTACAGAATATATGCTGTTGCTGATTACTTTTTGTTTAGAAATATAGAAGTTGTATTACTAACTCAGCAGCTGTGGGCACTTACAAAAAAAAAAACGTATAAAAATAAATAAAAACCCAGGAAAGATGATGGGTTTTTGGAACAATACTGGGTAATGTTTTTTTTCACCTTCTGTCTGAATGTCATCTTTCTTTAAAAGATGAAAACAGTGTGACATGTATGTATGTATGTATG